TAAAGAAACCATATATTTCTTTTACAATTGTCTGTCTTAACCAACAGTTTCAATGATCCAACGAATTATCAATTCCATTTGCATTGGAAAAGACTGTACCTACTCAGTAAATAAAAGGCTGACCCAATAACAGTCCCTCCCAATCTGAAAAAATTATTGGTACATGGTACCAACAGATTCCAGCAGTCTGGCCTTTCCAAGGCTAAGTGGCTATGAATTCTACTTTCAAGGTGTCAAGCAAAGGTAGGTTTCAGCCTCACTTCAATCCAACACTTATCCTAATAATGTATTTGGTGGGGGGTTGTTTTTTTAATGTTTATTTATTTTTGAGAGAGAGAAAGAGCATGAGCATGGGAGGGACAGAGAGAGGAAGACACAGAATCCAAAGCAGGCTCCAGGCTCCGAGCTGTCAGCACAGAGCCCTACGTGGGGCTCAAACCCATGAACCATGAGATCATAACTTGAGCCAAAGTCACATGCTTAACCACAGAGCCTCCCACACACACCCCAATCATGTACTTTGAAAGTTATCAGCAGAGTATATTTTTCCTCCTCAGTCGACTCTCAAAAAGGCTGCATCTTCTGAAAGTCAGTAACATGCATACAGTTCTCAAAAGGAGACTGTCCAAACCCTATAATCTGTAGAATCTTTAAACATTAGTACTTTAAAAACCAAAAGAGAGAAACCCCAGCAACTTTAGAACAGGCTATAAATAATTAGGCATTCGGTCAAAGCTGAGTGGTTAAATATCTTGGAATTTGTCTTAACAGAATGTGCTTTCCTGGAAACCATACAGCAAAAATGGCAAATGTCATTCTCACTCAAACCAGAGGAACTATATCTGAACTTCCTCACTCTTACAGTAAAGGCGCTAGTCAAACACCCAAAATCTGCCTTAGCAAAATCTTTAAGGAACAGCCGGATATGACTGAGACAACACCAAGATACCAGTCTATAAACATTATGAAAGTTTCCTTTCAAGCCTCTTGCATGTGTTTGCCTCCCCTTTCCCCCACCCCAAGTATTTCCTCCAAAAGTCAGTTCAAGCTTGAACAAATTGGGCTGCAGGCAGGGCAGATCCCTGCAGTCATGACCCAAAGCCCAAGAACCCAAATGTTTCCCATGAGGACCACCAGTCAGCTGCAGAATGTAGACTAGACAGGACGGCTTTGACAGATGTCATGAGCTAGCCAACCCCATCTCTCAGGACATGAGAAGGTCCCTTTTCAGACAGCCACCAACCCAGGTGACTGGAATTTCAGATAAAAACATTATCTCCAGGGGCGCCTGGGTGGCTCAGTCAGTTAAGTGTCCGACTTCGGCTCAGGTCATGACCTCACAGTTCGTGGGTTCGAGCCCCGCGTCGGGCTCTGTGCTGACAACTCAGAGCCTGGAGCCTGTTTCAGATTCTGTATCTCCCTCTCTCTCTGACCCTCTCCTTTTCATGCTCTCTCTCTCTCTCTCTGAGAAATAAATAAAAAATATTAAAAAATATTTTTTTGAAAACATTATCTCCAGCAATATATCCAACAGACACCTTTTTGGAAGCTTGAATAAGGCAATTAAAAGTGATCAGAGTGGATCTGTCTTTCTAAGTGGATTTACCTTTCCTCAGTTCAGCTAGGCTGCCAGAACTTTCCATCTTCAGCCCATATCTACCACCGAGATAAAGGCAGAAGGAACCAGACTCCTCCAGCCAAAACAAATTGAGCTGAATTCTAACCTTCCTGCATTTCTAGATTTGTGTCAGAAGTGTGAGCTCACTAACTGGTGTCTGTGATATATTACCAGAAAAGATAAATGCCTCACTATCCAGAATAAGAATGTACTTATAAGTTCTGTTGAGTGCTGACTACTTAAAAACTCAGCAATAAAACCATGTTATACACAATTGCTAAAATGCTAAAATGGCACAGTGATGTACTGGCCCAAGGCTCTCTGTTATTCTTATACTTTGACTCACTCTGTATTTGCTCTGCTTTGAACTCTTTCACTCTGGAGCCACTTCTTGCTCTGTAAATCTCAAAATAGGCTGGGTCAGAGGCGCCTGGGTGGCTTAGTTGGTTAAGCGTTTAACTTCGGCTTAGGTCATGATCTCATGGATCATGAGTTTAAGCCCCGCGTTGGGTTCTGTGCTGACAGCTCAGAGCCTGGAGTCTGCTTCGGATTCTGTCTCCCTCTCTCTCTCTGCCCCTCTCCCACTTGCACTGTTTCTAAATAAATAAATAAATAAATAAATAAATAAATAAATAAAGACATTAAAATAGACTGGGTCAAAAACAGTCTCACTGACCCAATGAGCTTCAATGACATGCTCAGTAATATTTAAGTTTGCTCAGCCTCTGCAAATTTCCCCAGGATGGTTCAGCTGTTGAGGGTGCAAGGAATCCAATCATCTTTCAGGGAGTGGGAACTGGAGCAGAGAGCCACACATGCTGGTATGGGCATCCACCAAGTCCACTTCCCCCTCACCATCTGGGGCATCCGTGGTTGTGGGAAGTCAGGCAACCCCAGGTCATATTAATAGTGGCCCCTAAACACTTCTATGGCCCCTGTACCTTTTGGGGCACCTTCCTGTAGCCCCAGGCATAGCTCATCATTTCTTCCCAAGCCGTGACTCCTTTCTCTGGACTTTACCCTAGCCTCCAACAAAAGAGACCTAAGTGAAGTAATAGACCTTTGTCCTCCAATCAGGAGGAATCATGGGGGATCCTCTTTCCCCTCACTTCAGGAGGATGAAAGAAATCTCTCCACTTCATGCTTCAGGGAGTTTCATCCTGAAATTCCTTGAGTTGCCCAGGGGGTCTAGCACCCCCTTCCTAGAATGACAGATACATGTGTCCCTGCCCCTGAAAGCTTGCCCTATGTTCCCATGTCTAGATCACCACATTATTTATTCATTTAAGGCAACACAGAAACATTCAAGAGCCCACCGTGTACGAGACCCGAAAACTATGCACAGGGGATACAGCAGTGGATGAGACAAAATTCTCACCTACAAGCAGCCTACAGCCTAGCCGAGAGGGAGAAACAATAAACCCACATGCCGATAATGAAGGAGGTAAAACAGGGCAACAGGGAGAAATTGAAGGTGGTGGCAGGGATAGTGGCCTTTAGGATAGTCAGAGAAGGTTGCTCTGGTGAGGGGACAATGTGAGCTAAGATGTGATGGTACAATGAAGCTAACTAGTCTGGGGAGCCTTGGTAGCTCAGTCGTTTAAGCACCCGACTCATGATTTCAGCTCAGGTCATGATCTCATGGTTCATGGGATCAAGACCCAGCACAGAGCCTGGTTGGGATTCTCTCTCTCCATCTCACTCTCTCTCTCTACCCTCCCCCCCCCCCACCCACCGCCTGTGCATTTTTGGGTGCTCTCTCTCGCTCTCTCTCTCTCTCTCTTTCTCTCTCTCTCAAAATAAACATTTTAAAAAAAGAAAGAAGAAGCTAACTAGTCACACATCTGTGGGAAGAACTTTCCAGAAAGAAGATACAGCAAGTGTCAATGCCCTGAGAAAAGAGCAAGCTTCATTTTGTCAGAAAGACGGTGGCTAGAAAGGGGGTCATAGAGGTAGGCAGGGACCCGTGCATCCCCGGGACCTCCTGGGCGGCAGAAGAAGCCACCCGAAAAGCAGTGAGTGACCGAGTCCGAGGTTTAAAAAGATCACCTGGGGGCACCTGGGAGGCTTAGCCGGTTAAGCATCTGACTTTGGCTCAGGTCATGATCTCATGGTTCATGAGTTTGAGCCTCAAATCAGGCTCTCTGCTGACAGCGTGGAGCCTACTTCAGATCCTCTATCTCCCTCTCTCTCTGCCCCTCCTTGACTTGCACTCTCTGTCAAAAATAAATACACATTGGGGCACCTGGCTGGCTCAGTCAGTTAAGCATCCGACTTTAGCTCAGGTCATAATCTCTCAGTTCGTGGGTTCAAGTGCCACGTCAGGCTCTGTGCTGAGAGCTCAGAACTTGGAGCCTGCTTCGGATTCAGTGTCTCCCTCTCTCTCTGCCCCTCACCTGTTCGCGCTCTGTCTCTCTGTGTCTCTCAAAAATAATAGTAACATGGTTGGAACTTGAGGGTGTTATGCTGAGCGAAATAAGTCAGGCAGAGAAGGACAGATATCATATGTTTGCACATATAGGTGGATTAGGAAGAAGCTAACAGAGGACCATAAGGGAGAAGAAGGGTAAAAATAGTTGGGGAGAGGGAGGGAAGCAAACCATGAGAGACTCTTGAATGCTGAGAACAAACTGAGGGCTGAGGGGGGTAGGGGAGAGGGGAAGGGGGGTGATGGGCACGGGGGAGGGCATTTGTTGGGATGAGCACTGGGTGTTAAATGGAAACCAACTTGACAACAAAGTATTTAAGAAAATTTTTTGAAATATAAATAAATAAACATTTTTAAAAATTTTAATAAATAAACATTAAAGTTTTTTTAAATAAATAAATGAGCTCAACCACTATTTTAAAATAAATAAATAAAATAAAAAGATCACTCTGGCTACTGCGAGGAGAACGGACTCTGGGGCTGAGAAGGAAAGAAGAATGGCAGGCAAGGGACTGGATGGTTGCTTGGACGTAGCTGGTAACCATGGAGACAAGGAGCCACGCTGGGATTCAGGACATAGTCTAGCGGGAGGGGTGCCAGAACTCTAATTAGAGATGGGAAGTCCATCACCCGTAAATACTCACTAACTGTCCCTGTGTGAGTAGTTCACACACACTCTCCCTCTTAAACACAGTGAAGGTAGTGGCCCAGACTCCAGACCCTGGAGCCAAAATGCCCAAGTTCACATTTCAACTCATCCACTTGCTAGCGCTCAAACCTGGTAAATCACTGAACCTCGATTCCTCATCTGCAAAATGGAGGCAATAATAAAGCCCTCATAGGGTTGTTGCGAGGACTCAAAACTAGTTACCGAGATAAAGCATTTAGGGAAGGCGCCTGCCACAGAATATGTTCATTTCCTCTTACTGCCGGAAAAAATTACCACACATGTACTGGCTTCGTTAACACAATACCAATTTATTCTCCTACACTTCTGGAGGCCAGAAACACAAAGTCTGTTTCAGTGGACTATAAAGTCAGGGTGTTGGCAGGCTGGTTCTTTCTAGAGACTCCAGGGGAGAATCCATTGCTTGCCCTTTCTGGCTCCTGGAGGCTGCTGACCATGTCTCTCCAACTTCTGCTCCCATCATCTGCTGCCTTCTCCTCTTGTGACCTTCTTGCCTCCCTTTTACAAGGAGACTTGTGATTCTATTTAGGACCCATTTGGATAATCCAGAATATTCCCCCTATCTCAAAATCCTCAACTTCACACATCCATATAGCTCCTTTGCCAAGTTCCCAGGTTCTGGGGACGGGGACTCAGGCTAAGGCCTCCTGACGGTGCTGTATCCTATGGACTCCTCGTGGTTCCTGCTGGGAATACGGGTGACGAGCACGTCTGTGTTGCTGTAGGTTGGCTCCTGATCCAGAAACTCCCAAGTCAGAGCTGCATAGGAAATGTTCTCCTTCGGAAGGGGGGCCTGTAATAAACATGCCCGAGGGAGGGGTCAGAGAAGCAGGCAGGGGGTTATGCCCGCGGATGGAGGTGGGGGAACAGGGCCTTCGGGGCTTCTGAAAGTTCCTCCCAGACCCTCCAGTCCCTGCCTTCCCTCTGCCAGCTCCCTGAACGCCAACCACAGCAGAAGACCTCCCTCCACTCCGAATGAGGGCAGCACACTTCACATGGAATCCCAGGTCGCTCAGCCTGTCTGGGCCTCCGCCGCCCAGCACGAGGGCCATGTCTGATGGGACTCTGAGTCCTCTAGTGCTGAGGAGACACTTCCAATGGCCGAATGCCTGGGGAGTGGGGAGGGAGATGTGGGGGTGGGGGAGCTCCACAGGCAAGTCTTCCAATGGCTGTGGCTTTGCCCAGCACCCACTCTTCCTCCTCTGTGCCCACATGGGCAGGAGAGAACCTATCTGGCTTCAAGGCCCACAGCAGCCCTATGTACACACCATGGTGACATAATCCACTTCCTGCTGTTTTTCCAGGTCAGAGGAGGAGGGCTTTGTGCAGGCCTTCTTCTGGGAGGAGCCGTGAGAGGTTCCGGTTTGCTGTAGGGTCAGGTTTGCATAGCAGAGGTCCCCTACTGGGGGCTGGAGCACCTGGGAAAGGATGCACAGGTCTTCTTTCACACAGGAATATGGGGCCTATGCCTCCCTGGGCCCCCCTCTCCCAACTTCCTATGCAACCCCTCTCCCGCCCCTTCCTGCCCTACCCCCTTCTGGCTGTTTCCAGCATCCACCTCCCATCCCCCCAGGCTCTGCAGCTGGGCTGTGAGCACACAGACACGGCTTGTCTGAAAGGTTTGCAGCTCGGTGCTCCCGGGAAAACGAGGAAAGAGAGGAAGGCGCTATCTGGTGTCTCTGGTCTGACCTCGGAAACTCTCTTACCTGCTCTGGGGATAGCCCAGCAGCTAAAAGACAAAAACAATCAAAATTAGAAAGCCCATCCATAGACTCACAGGGCCCCCTTCTGGGGAAGAGAAGTCTGGAAGGAAAGAGGTGGATTAGGCTCCAGACTCAGAGACATGAGACCGGGTTCTGATTCTGACTCCTCAGATGACACACTCTGTAACATTGGTCACTTCACCTCTCTGAGCTGCCACTTCTCCACCGGAGAAACAAGGAGACTTGCCCATCTTCCCCACATCGAGGAACGGCCAGCAGCTGATCCAGCGGCCCTGCCAGCCCTCGGCGCCCCTGTGATCAAGTTTCCTGCTGGGCAATTGCAGGCACATGTAACCTCTGCCAGGAGTCCAGCCCGAAATGCCCCCATGTCTCCACCTGATTCATCATTTGAGAGTCAACTCAAAGTCACACCTGCCTTCCCAGCTACCCAGGGTGCCGAATCTCTCCCTCCCCAGCTCCATGGCCCTTAATTTAGGTCTGTCTTGTCTCCTGTGTCCCACCCAATTCCAGTTAGTCTTTGGGTGGGCTGGGGGTTGCTGGGCAGCTGGGCCCATCCCTTCCTTGCATTTCTGGTTGCTTGGCTGTGCCTGGTATACAGGTGCCCCATGCAGGCTGCCTTCCGAGTGGGGTGCAGGAGCTAGGTCAGAACCTTATGGACCAGCTTTCAGTGGTCCTGTTTCCTATTTCTCTCTGCCCTTTGGCCTCTACCCCTTATCTCCCCCTTCCCCCCACTCCAGCCCCATTAGAGGCAACAAAGAAACAAAAAGTTCTTTTCTCTTGGTTCTTAGTTTCAAAAGCCTAGATACTGAGGAGCACAGAAAGTACTTAGAACCTAGGCCCCAGACATACATCTGGGAGAAGAGCAGTGGGGCCTCCCTCCCCCTTGACTACAAGAGTCTCCAGGCTGTGATGGTAGAGGGGGGACTGGAGAGCACCCTGGGAGAGTTTGGCTCCTAGTGGGTTCAGAAAGGGGAGGGATGCATTTACCCTGAGAATGTGGAGGCAGAGCCAGGCATCAGCTCCCCCTTCCCAGCCCCCCAGCCCAGCCCCAGCTCAGCACTAGCGGCTGTATCTGGTCACCTTTCTTCTGTTGCTTCATCATTCTCAAAGCCAAGAGTGAGGCGGCCACCAGGAGAAGCAGCAAGACGCCAAAGATGAGGGGAAGCAGGATGCTGAGGTTAATGGAGTCAGCCCTGGAAACAACAGAAAGGCGCCATGCACCCCAGCCCTCCTCTGGGCCTTGCTTCAGCCACCTAGAAGCCAAGAGGGCCGCACACCTTTTGACCTGGAAGCCTATGGTTTATAGCCAGGAAATCCCACTCCTAAGTGCCCTCAGAGATGGTAAAAAAAAAAAAAATTTTTTTTCGGTGGGTCCAGACACCTAATGGAAAGTTCTCTGGAACCCCTGGAAAGTTCTCCCTGCTCTTACACTTGTCCTGCTGTACTAGATTAAATAGTGTCCCCCATTCCCCACAATTCATGTTCATTCACAACCTGTGAAGGTGATCTATTTGGAAATAAGATCTTTGCAGATGTAAGCAAGTCAAGATGAGGTCATATGGAATCAGGACGGGCCCTCATCCAATGGCTGGTGTCCTTACAAATGGAAAATCTAGCCACACACAAGTACGCACTGGAAGGCCCTGTAAAAACAGAGGCGGGAATTGGGGTAATGCTGCCACAAGCCAAGGAACCTCCCCAGCTGGCTGGCAAACACCAGAAGCTGGGAGATTGGCATGGGACTGCTTCTCTCTTTGAGCCCCAAGAAGAGGTCAACCCTTAGACACCTTGATCTCATCCTTCTGGCCTCCAGAACAGTATGAAAGTAAATGTGTATTGTTTCAGTGGCCTGGGATATGGTACTTTGTCATGGCTCCCTGAACCAAGTCATACAAAGACTATCTCTTATTCGTCACTAGTCACAGAATTTGTAGAATGAATCCATCAACCAGTTAGTTGATGAACTCTATGTGGCACATTAATTATCTCCTGACTGTAAGTACCTGGAGGGGCAGACACCTTATTTATTTTGTTCATCCTAGTATCTTCTTGTATCCCCCAAAATACTAATAGGCATGAGCAGGGGCTCAATAATTATTTGTTGAATAAATGAATGAATGAGTGAACCCATCTCTTTCTTATCAAAGACCCTAATTGGTACTTATATAGAGCTTTGATTCATAAAATGAGGAAACTCCTTAGCTAATGCTTTTTTTTAAAGTTTATTTATTTATTTACTTTTGGAGAGAGAGAGAATGAGTGGGGGAGAGGCAGAGAGAGAGAATCCCAAGCAGATCCCATGCTGTCAGCTCAGAGCCCCACATAGGGCTTGATCTCACGAATACAGGATCATGACCTGAGGTGGAAACCAAGAATCGGACGCTTAACCACCAGGTGCCCTGTTAACTATTACTTATTAAAAGCAGGTTAGTAGAAAGAAACTTTTGAAACAGAAGGCAGACGGGAGAGAGAAAGAAAAGGGATTCCAGGTGGGAGTAGACAGATTGGAGATCTCCCATTGGGATTCTACGGGAAGCCCCAGCAAAAGGAAATCACAGCAGATCTAGAAACACAGTGAAGAGGGCATGGAAGGAAATGGAAAAAGATCTCTCAACTTCTAGAAAGCCACTTTGGCTGCATTGGCCAAGCAGGGCACTAAGAAGCATGAGAGAGACTGTTTCTTCCTCTATAAAATGTGAACATTTGTATCTGCCTCCTCCTCCTCATGAAGTAGGGTCAAAGAATTAAGAGACAATGGATAGGAAAGCCCTCTGTGAGCTGTCAGGTGCTCTTGAGATGGGACAAATCATCAATATCACTATTCTTGCCATAACGGTAATTAGGGGAAAACGGATGTTCCCAAGCCCTCACTGTCCTTCCAGCATTTGGACCAAGAGGCATCCCTGTGGCCCACAATGCCCATGCCTACATGCACACTGGCCATGCCATGTGCACTGACTGCCTGCTCATCAATCTCCCAGTCTGCACTCTGAGGTCCTCAGGGGAAGCTCCACATCTTTGCACTCAGAGCTCAACAAGGGGCTGGTCATGTAGAAGTTAACTCAGTAAAAATGAAATAGATGAGGGGCACCTGGGTGGCTTAGTCAGTTAAGCGTCCGACTTTTGCTTAAGTCATGATCTCACGGTTCGTGGGTTCGAGCCCCGCATCGGGCTCTGTGCTGACTGCCGGCTCAGAGCCTGGAGCCTGTTTCAGAGTCTGTATCTCCCTCTCTCTCTGACCCTCCCCTGCTCACGCTGTATCTCTCTCTCTCCTAGAAATAAATAAAAATATTAAAAAAAAATGAAATAGATGAATAGATGCACCAACACATCTACAAACTGTACTGAGTTCCAGGATGAAGGATCTGGGGGGCTCCAAGGACCAGGGACGGGGGCTGATAGCAAGTGGGAAGAGCCCCTGGCATCCTTGCCTTCCCAAAGGAGCCTAAAGGTCTGGGGGACAAACTCTGGCTAGCACCTGGGACTGCAAAGGGTACCCCCCATTGGAGGAGTTTGGACCAGGTAGACCAGAGGAAACAGCACATTGGAACTGGCTTACCTGGCATTGGAGTGATGGCTGGTCATAGTTGGGGGGGCTTTGGTCTCTGCTGGCGCTGTGGACATGTGGGCGTTTGAGGTGGTGGTTGACACTGTAGTTGGTGCTAGGCATAGACCAGATTATACACTATTCAGCCTGCTAACCTGCCCACAGCCCTGCACATGGCTCTGAGCCCAGGGGGAGCCTGGAGCTAGGCCGTGAGAAGAGAAGGGCCTATAGCCTAGACTGCTTATATCTCCCTGGCAACTAGGATACTCAGCCTCGGAGGCAGGCAGCTTTTTCATTGTGGAGGCCATTCTGAACCTCAGGAATCAACTATACCACCATGACTGTGCTGGGCCCCTTCCCTCTGACACTGGATATGGAACAGAGGGTGGGAACAGCCACTATGAAGTCCCGGCCCCAACCTCTGGAAAGAGCAGGGACACAAGGCACCAGAAGTCAGGAAAGCACTGGCAGGAATTGGGGTCTCTGGGTCCCATGGGAGAAGGTCCTTTTGGCCCATGGGCTGAAACTGGGACCATCACCTTGATCTCTGTGGGCAACAGACTCAGACACTGAGCTGTGCAGAGAAACACATGCCCAGAAAGGCTTGATCCCAACCTGGAGGAGGTGCTGGGTACCATGAGAGCATCTAAGAGAAGCCCTGTCCCTCCCAAACCCAAGGGGTCAGTCAGGTTCTAGAAGAACTCAAGACTCAACCACCCTGTGTGACAGTTCACTGAGTGACACTGAAGTCACTGGAGAGGAACTTCAGGGCCCAGAACAGAACAGGCCCTGAAGACACACCGCCATAGTTATTATACTCTTACCTGGGTTGATAGTCACTTTGACTTTGGCCCCATGGTCAGTTCCATATTTCTCGATCCCACACCAGTAAGTATCTGCATCACTTTTTGTGAGCTTCACCATAGTCACAGTGAATGTGTAGTTTTTCTGATTGTCTTTGATGGACACATTTTTCCACTGTGCCTCCTGCTCTGACCCATTGGTTTTAACAAGGATACGGCAGCTATTCCACTCGGCTCCTCGACACCACCACTTCTTGTGGGATTGCCACTTTTGTACATAGCGACACTGCACGGTCAGTGAGCCCCCCACCAGGCCGCTGACTACCCCTGGACCCGAGATTTCAGATGAGCCTGGAAAACACAAATCCATGTGCCTGTCATCACCCCACCCCACCCCCTGAAGAAGAGCCACAGCCTCCTGCATCACAAATAATTCCAATAAACCCAAGTACCCGATGAGTTGAGTAACAGTCAAAGAAGGAATAGACCTTTCACAACACAGACCTTTGTCCTTCAGAACTCCACTGGTTCAAATCCGTCATAGAAGTCACCTAAGAGCACAACTACAGATCTCAAAGAATCAAAAATGCCGACACTGAGCAATGACAGCTTTCTATAGTCCCGTGGCCAAAGTCATCTGGAGAGCAAATGACCCAAAGGAAGGCAAGACCCCAGTCCACTTCAGCCCACAGTCCTCATGCAAAATGTGGGCTCTGTGATTTCAGACCTTTTCATTTTTCTAGAATAACCAGGAATCTGGATTTTATATGGAACATCTCCATTTTAAAACACTGGCTTGAGGCATCTGGGTGGCTCAGTCAGTTAAGCATCCAACTCTTGATTTCGGCTCAGGTCATGATCTCACAGTTCACGAGTTCAAGCCTCGTGTCAGGCTCTGTGCTGACAGCTCAGACCCTAGAGTCTGCTTCAGCCTGTCTCTCTCTCTTTCTGTCCCTCTCCCACTCACACTCTGTCTCTGTCTCTCAAAAACAAACATTAAAAAATTTTTAAATAAAAATTGAGACTTAATCCATATATCATAAGTTTTGCTCTTAATTTCTTTTTAGAGAGAGGACACAAGTGAGTGAGAGGGGAGAGAGAGAGAGGGAGAGAAAATATTTAATGAAGGGCAGAGAGAGAGAGAAGCAGGGTGCATCCAACACGGAGATCAATCTCACAAACCATGAGATCATGACCTAAGCCGAAGTCAGATGCTTAACAGACTGAGCCACCCAGGCATCCTTTACTCTTAATTTGAAAGCATATACTCTGGTGTTTTTAGGATATTCACAAAGCTGTACAACCATCACCCCTAACTCCAAAACATTTTCATCACTTCAGAAGAAACACTATACCCAGCATTTGCTCCTCATTAGTCTACGTTCTGAAATCCACATTTCATGGGGCTCCTGGGTGGCTCAGTTGGTGAAGTGTCCGACTTCGGCTCAGGTCATGATCTCACAGTTCGTGGATTCAAGCCCCGCGTCGGGTTCTGTGCTGACAGCTAGCTCAGAGCCTGGAGCCTGCTTCAGATTCTGTGTCTCCCTCTCTCTCTGACCCTTCCCCTCACCCTGCCTCTCTTTCTCTCTCAGAAAGAAATAAAACATTAAAAAATAAAAATTAAAAAATGAAATCTACATTTCATATAAATATAGTCACACAATGTATGGCCTGTTGTGTCTGGCTCCTTTCACTTAGTGTAATGTTTTTAAGGTTCGTCCATGTTGTAGTGTATGCGGGCACTTCATTCCATGGTAGGGAGAGACCACAATGGACATTGTTTCTCTGTGCATCAATCAATGATACTTGGGTTGTTTTCACTTTCAGCTATTATGAATAATGCTGCTATGAACATTATTGTACTACTGGTATTTGCATAGAGATAGGTTTTCAGTTCTCTGGAGTATAATAAACCATAGGAGACTTTTCAGAAGTAGGGAAGGGAAGGGTTTTGCACAAGTGTTGCTGGATCTTGTTACCTCTACACATGTTCCACTTAGGTAAAGGCAGGGAGATTAAGGTCAACACAAAATAGCAAATCACTTCTTAAACTAGAAGAAATTAGAAGTCTTTATAAAATCTCTGAATGAAAAGGAGCCTCTGGGTGGCTCAATCAGTTGGGCATCTGACTTTGGCTCAGGTCATGATCTCACTGCTTGTGGGTTCAGCCCTGCATCAAGCTCTGTGCTGACAGCTCAGAGCCTGGAGCCTGCTTCGGATTCTGTGTCTCCCTCTCTCTCTGACCCTCCCCTGCTCATACTCTGTCCCTCAAAAATAAATAAGTGTTTTAAAAAATGTAAAAATCTCTGAATGAAAGGGAGCACTTTCTAAATTTAAAAATTAAATTTTCATCACAGAGTCAGTAAATTTGACATATATAAATGTAACACTGGACATACCACAAGAAAGACTGAATGGAGGCAAAGAACAGACTGTAAGATATATTTAGAACAAATAATGTAGAAAAGGATTAATAGTCATTTTTTTAAAGAATATATAAGGGCTTGGGGCGCCTGGGTGGCTTAGTCGGTTAAGCGTCTGACTTTTGCTTAGGTCATGATCTCGCAGTTCGTGGGTTTGAGCCCCGCGTCAGGCTCTGTGCTGACTGCCAGCTCAGAGCCTGGAGCCTGTTTCAGAGTCTGTGACTCCCTCTCTCTCTGACCCTCCCCTGCTCATGCTGTCTCTCTCTCTCTCTCTCCTAGAAATAAATAAAATATTAAAAAAATTAAAAAAAAAAAGAATATATAAGGGCTCTTGGGTGGCTCACTCAGTAGAGCATCCAACTCTTGATTTCAACTTGGGTCACGATCCCAGGATCATGGGATCAAGCCCCTCATCAGGCTTCACACTGAGCATGGAACCTGCTTAAGATTCTCTCTCCCATTTCCTCGGCCCCTGTCCCCTGATTCCGTGCTCTCTTTCTCTCTACAATAAAAATAAAATAAGTAAAAGAACGTATGAAAGATAAACATTAAGACTCCATTTAGAAAATTGATAAGTGGGGGAGGGCCCGGGTGGCTTAGTCAGTTAAGCATCTGACTTCGGTTCATGTCATGATCTCACAGTTCATGAGTTTGAGCCCCACACCAGGCTGTCTGCTGCTAGCACAGAGCCCACTTCGGGTCCTCTGTCCCCCTCTCTCTCTCTCAAAAATAAGTAAACCTTATTTACAAAACTGATAAGGGGCAAGAAAAGGCAAGTCACAAAGAAGTAATTCAGGTGGGTAGTAAAATTGAAAATGTTCAATTTAAATAATCTAGAAAATGAAAACTTTTTTTTTTGCAAATGAAAACATTTTAAAGTGATATCATTTTCACATATAAAACCAACCAAGTTTTTGTGAACACTATATTGCTGACACGACTGATGTGGAATGGAGACTCAGACACTCAGAGAAGCTGCTGGTAGGGATGTAACCAGTTCAACCATTACAGAAAGTAATACGGCAATTATGTAGCAAAATAATCATGCCCTTTGCTCCAGTGATTATATGTCTAGGATTTGGTCCTCAGGAAACAGAGAAGCTAACAAAAATATATGCACCAGGGAATGCCTGGATGGCTCAGTCAGTTGAGCATCCAACTCTTGATTTCAGCTTAGGTCATGATCCCAGGGTCATGGAATTGAACCCCACATCAGCCTTGAAGCCTGTTTAAGATTCTCTCTCTCTCTCTCTTCCTCTGCCCATCTTCTCTGCTTGCTTTCTCTCTAATATTAAATTTTAAAATTTGGGGGGTACATGGATGGTTCAGTCAGCTAAGCATCCGACTCTTAGTTTCAGCTCGGTCATGAACTCATGGTTTGTGAGTTGGAGCTCCATGTCCAGCTCTGTGCTGACAGTGTGGAACCTACTTGGAATTCTCTCTCTCTCTCTCTCTCTCTTTCTCTCTGTCCCTCCTCCACTATCAGTCCCTCCTCCACTCTCTGTCCCTCTCTCTCTCAAAATAAATAAATAAACTTAAAAAAATTTTTATTTATGCACCAAGATTCATTACATAATTATTTAAATAGCAAAAATAAAGGAAACAAGGTTAACATCTAACAATTAGGAAAATAAATATTCAATCAAATGTAATCCAGACACTGATAATTTGCTTAGAAATACTGTTAACTGTGTAAAAATTCCTCATATGAAATGAAAATGGATTTTTAAATATCACATACAGTATAATCTCAACTAACTTTTAAAATGTGCCCAGAGAAAAAGGTTGAAGGGAAATACTTTAAAATACTAAATTAACATTGGGTTGGGGCGCCTGGGTGGCTCAGTAAGTTAAGCGTCTGACTTTGACTCAGGTCATGATCTCATGGTTCATGGGTCCCAGCCCCACATGAGGCTCTGTGCTAACAGTTCAGAGCCTGGAGCCTGCTTCAAACTCTGTCTCCATCTCTCTGCCCCTCCCTTGCTTGCACTCTGTATCTCTCTCAAAAAATATAATAATATTTTTTAAAAATTAACATTGGGTTGCCTTGGGCATTAAGATCAGGGACGTAGGTTTTTTTAATTTTTCCTAATTCTTCATCTTTTTCTATACTTCCTAAGTATCAACAATGAGCATTTATTACTTTCAAAATGACCAGGGGTAAAAATAATGCCTGGACAGGGCTGTTTCATGGCATGGTGAGCAGAATAATGGCTCCCTAAGAATGTCTACATCCTAATCCCCAGAGCCTGTAAAATATGTTAAATCTCACGTGGCAAAAAGGGACTTTGTAGATGTGATTAAATAAACGATCTTTGATGGAGAGATTATCCTGGAGTATCTGAGTGGGCCCAATGTCATCACAAAGATTCATATCAGAGTGGGCACCTGGGTGGCTCAGTCAGTTAAGGGTCCAGCTCGGGCTCAGGTCATGATCTCATGGTTTGTGGGTTGGAGCCCCTTGCCGCCTCAGGCTCTCTGCTGACAGCTTGAAGCCTGGTGCCTGCTGCGGATTCTCTGTCTCCCTCCCTCTCTCTGTCTCTCTCTTTGTCTCTCTCTGCCCTCCCCCACTCATGCTGTCTCTCTGTCTCTCTCAAAAATAAACAGCAAAAAAAAAAATTTTTTTTAAGATCCTTATCAGAGGGAGGTAGGAGGGTCAGGGCCAGAAAAGAAGGGACATTGAAGACCGATGTGGGGCCATACACCAAGGATGCAGCAGCCTCTGGAAAAGTCAAGGAATCTGATTCTCCCTCAAAGGCATCCTAAGGAATGCAGCCCCGTTGATCTTTGTAGACTCTGACTCCCGGACTATAACATAAATTTGTGTTGTTTGGGCGCCTGGATGGCTCAGTCAGTTAAGCGTCCAACTTCATTTTTTTTTTATTTTTCTAAATGTTTTATTTACTTCTGAGAGAAAGAGAGACAGCA